ACACACTCCCCTGGATGTGCAACCACTGAAAGCTTCTATTAACACGTAAATAAAGCTTAAAGTCCCTCTGTATGAAACATTTGTTACCTATTAAAAGAAATCTGTGTTTTGGTAAGAACAATCAGTTCAAATGATTGTTTGATGATAATGAATGCCTGATGATAAATGAGTGATTCCATTTTTGAATTCTGCTTTGCTGACACCAAAACTAAAAATTGTAGAGAGGAAAAAAAAATGGAAGCAAGTGAAATGGTAAAGAAAATATTAGATATTGCTCCTCACATGTTTTCAAAAGACAGAAAAAATTTAGGAAAATTCTGCCATGTCCACAAAAAGTGATGATGTAGGCTGCCACTACTGCCAATAGAAACTATTTAAGAGTCTGCAAAACAAAAAATTAGGTTGGAAAGCTGCTGTTTTGTGAGACAGAACATGGGGTGTCCATGCTCTGCAGCTCTATTTCTTCCATGCTTCTCCATATATCTCAGTAACAAAAAGTGCTGGAAAACATGGCCTGTGAGGATGGTGTTGAAAGAACTGGCACGGTTGTTTTCCTAGAAAGAAAGACTGAGGGAAGATTTAAAAAGAAAGAGCAGGGGAAGAGGAACAATGTCATCTTTGTCTTAGTGCACAATGAACAAAGGAAAATGCTGTGACAGTGAATAGATATTCAAAAGAAATCAGGGCAGTCGGTCACAGCACTGCCAGGCAGTCTCCATCACAAGGGGTTTCACAAGAGAGCACTCACAGATGAGTCCTGTCCACAGGGACAGAAAGCCAGGACCTTGCAGAGCTGCAGCGACCACAGGTGCTGGCACCAGGCTGTTACTCATGAGTGAAATGCCTAAGTGCAGAATCAAGGGCACAGCATCACAGTGCCACACAATGACTCAAACCAAGGAAAAATGGAGTGGGAGAGAGTTGGGGAAGGGGAACACCCCCACCCCACCCTCCACCACCCAAGAAATTAAATGGGGATAAAAGATATATCTGTCTGATGGGATGTGGCTGTTGCTGTCCCTGAGTAAACCACAACTGTACCTTATCTACTCCTTTAAAGTGAGGAGATTTTCCCCTTGAGGGGTGATGCTGTCATGGAGGGAGCTGAACATGCAGAGCTGGAACAATAAATTTTCCACCCAGCTTACTTTGCCATGCAAACAGAATGAAAACTTTTTCTCAAAAGGAAAGCCTGGCTGACAAAATAGCAACTTTTACAATAGGCAGCTATTGCAGGGTAATACTCCATCCAGGGAATGGGCAACTTCCCAACCCTGGCAGCCCCCTCCTCCTCCTCCTCCTCTTCACTCTTTTGCTCCCTGGGGCCAAGCTGGCAGGACTGGGATGGAAATGAGCTCCAGCTGACCCAGGACAAACCAGTGCAGCAAGGATTTTCCACCCATAGGGAGCATTGCTAAGTCTCATCTAGCTTTAGAACCCCTTGACTTGCTTTCTTTTTCTTTTATCCTTATTTTCCTTTAGGATGAAGCAGATTAAACCTAACTGCTGATTCCTAGCAGCTGGTTCCCATGGAGATGGAGGGGCAGTGGAGAGCAGCAAGACACACTTTGCCCTGGCAGAGTGAGGGGCAACCAGGAAGCAGCTCTGGCCAGCACCCAGTGCTCAGCACAAAGCCTGACTCAGCCCACCAAAGCTGGCATCAAGGCAGGTGCTCAGCCCTACTAAGTGGAATGTTACATGTTTTGGGAATAATGTGGAAAACTAGTAAGAAAAATAAGAGCCGCAGTTTAAGGAAGGAGATAAAATTGCAAAGAGAGGTACAAGCTCTTGTAGAAGGCTGCTGCCTTCTCTGCTGGTTTGCTCAGGTAACTGCAGCAAAGGGGACACTGCTCCAACTGGCAGGAGCTTACCCTGTTCAGCACTGGGATCATGCCTTGCATCTGAGTCAGCCCGAGCAATGAGTAACGTGACTAATAAACATTCCTGGAGACAGCGAGCAGCACATGCAGGCCAGTTCCTGGGAAAATGACTAATCACTCTGCCATTCACTGTCCACCTTTCCCTTCTCCTTCCCTGACCCAGCGTCAGTGGGGAGGGTGGCAGAGGGTGAGAGGGGCAGAGCCTCCACATGTGGTCAGATGTTCCTGATTTTCTGGTACCTGTTTCCTGTTCAGCCCTTGAAGTAGAAACCACAGTGGAAACGCATGCCCAAGCTTTACCAGGAAGAGTGGACACATACAAGAGGGATGTTTCTCAAACTGTCTTTAAAAGTATGCAGAAAGGATCCTTTTTTTAACGATTTAAACCATCAGCATCTTTGCTATTCCCCACCCCTGCCGGCCTGCACCGCTACAGCTGCTCCTGCTCCTGCTCAGGCTGCACCATTGCAGCTGTGCTGCTCCTGCTCAGCCTGCACCATTGCAGCTGCGCTGCTCCTGCTCAGCCTGCACCATTGCAGCTGCTCCTGCTCAGCCTGCACCATTGCAGCTGCTCCTGCTCAGCCTGCACTGCTGCAGGGTGATGTTGCCAGCCCCGAATTCCCACGTGCTGATAGGCAGAGTTGGAATCAGGCATTTGGGAAGCTGCTCTTCTTTTCCCACAACAACAACAGAGGTATTTCCTACCCCCCGCCCCTCCCTGCCCGACATTTCAGGAGAGCTGCTTTTGTTTTGGAGAAGCACCACCTCGTAGCAAAGCACCCGGTATTCTGCAGTCAATTATCTTAAAATAGAGACCTCTCCCACCAGATGTTTGTCTTGGAACTGGTCTGCAAACTCTGTGACAGAAACGAAAGGATGGGAAAGGCGAGACATGTAAGACAGAGCAGAGGATGATGCTGTTTGTGGACCATGGTAGAGCCCCATCCACATCAGCCCAGCATGTCCAGAGGATTAGGGTACAGCCAGTCAAATCTCCCTACTCTGTGCCAGGTCAGGACAGGTCACTAGCATCTGGAAAACCCCTCAAGCTCATAAGATGTGAATTTTCCCTCTCATGAAGCCAGCAGCTCAGACATGACACAAGACTGTGTCAGGCCACTCCCACAGGGCTACACTGAGTAGACAGAAAAATCTTCAGCCTCCAGAAATTTTAGTTTTCACTCTTTTTTCAACTCTAAACATTTTCCTTTTATATCCCAAGGCATCCAATTCCATTTACTTTAGTTTCAAAGGCACATCTTGATCTGGTATATTTTATAATGCTTTTTCCCAGCCACAGAGGGTTTCTCCTTCCCCATGGGGCTCCCAAGACAAACAAAACTTTGCTTCTCCTGGGAGGAGAGCCATGAGTGTCTCCAGTTCCTCTGCAAGCTGCCTGTGTCTTCTACAGACTTTTTTCCCCAAAATATCATTTGAACAGGGGTCAGAACACAGGTGCACATCACATGATGGCACCACCACTGCCATTTTCCTTTTATTTTCTGTTTGTAATAAGTGCCTGCATTTGTTTTTGACCACTGCTACCTTATCTACAAGGAGCACAAGATCCTTCATCTAAGAGATCAGGGTGTCCCTTTAGCATGCAGGACAGGAGCTGGGGTATCTTTGGCAGGAACTTGTCTGTACCATTATCTAGGTGTAGGTGTAGGTGGGATGAATCTAGGGAATGTGTGTGAGCTGTCAGGAGGCCAGGAGCACTCTGAGCACACTAAAAATGCAGCAGAGACCTCCTCACATCCATTGCTTTCACCACATCAGGTTCTTTCAGCTCACAGGCATTCAGATGAGCCTGTGCCCCTGAGGAAGTTTGTGGCTCCCCTGCCACAGGCATGTGGCAGGCTGTGGGGTGCCCTGCTGCATGGTTGGTCTCTCTTCCTCCCCCCAGCCCCTTCACAGGCTCACTCATCCACTCTGAATAGAGAATTAAGGAAGAAAAATCTCCAAATTATGAAATTCTGAACCACTCTTTCAGTGTCTCAACAGCACTCTGTTTGCCTGTTTAAATTATACTTTGGCAATCAAGGTTGTGTAAGTGCTGGTCCAGTGCCTAGAAAACATAACATTTTAAGAGGACTGTGACCTAGCAAGGTCTCTTGCAATAGCTTTTCTCACTTTTCTAAAAAAAATAAAATAAAATTATAATACCACAGTAGCAAGTATTTGCTCTTTTTTTTCCTAATCTTTTAATCTGTTTAAGACAGGAAAGCTTCATAATGTACAATTTTAAACTGTCAAAATTTACAGAACAAAAAGAGTCAAATGTAAAACTGGTCATAACTCACAAATATCCCCATTTAAACTGTAAAATACAGACATTAAGCCACAGGTCACTTTTCTATTTTTAGGAAAGTGTGCAAAGAGCTAATTGTATAGTACATGTAGATGTTAAAAGTGATGCCATGTAAGCAGGTCTGCTGCTGCTATAAAAAATAGACAAGTATAAAATTACTTCTACAAAATTGGTTCATTTTTTTGTTGCTTGTAATAAAAAAGTAGACTTGTAAGAACTTTCCTCCTCAACAAACAACAATATTTTGAAACCAGCCATTGTAACTGTTATCCCGCTACACAGGATGAAACATAATTTAGCTAAATCAGAGAGTGGTAGGGAGAACTGCTTGTTCCAGGACCTACACGTGAATGCAGGAATATGCTGCCCGATGGTGTATTTGTTGAACAGCACAGTCACTGTATCACTCCACGGTATGATGAGTGCAGGTGTTTGAAGACTGCTTCCTCTGATACTACAAAAGATAACCTAAGGACCACAAAACACAGTCACTGAGCTACTCGAAACATCACACTTTGCCGTTTGCACTGATGCACAACCTTTAGCACTCACTAAACACTTAAGGGGTAGAGGGCATGGTTCATACACAAAATTATTGGTTTCATTTGGACAGGAAAGGAGAAGAAAGGAGAGGGAATGAGAGGGGGGAAAACGTTCTTTTTTTTTCCTTGTTTTTGGGTTTCCCTTTGGCTTTGTCACCTTCCCAGACGGGCAGCATGGTCCGGCTGTAGAGGACGGTGTCAGCCAGCTCCCGCTCAGCCACACACGCACGCACACGACGGGTCCTCGGCACCGGGATCCCTCTCTTGTCACTTGGTCCCACACGTGTTGATGTTCTTCCCGTTGGCAGCATCCTCCACCAGCGAGATGTGGTAGTCAGTGGAGAGCGTGAGGTGGGAGATGCAGCCCACCAGCCCCCGCAGGTACTGCCGGTTCGTGTGCAGGGCGATTTCCTTCATGCCCCCTGCGGGAAAGGCAGCTCTCAGAAACTCCCCACGAGCACGGGCCTCTGCTCCTGCTTGGCAGGCTGCACGCCCAGCAGTGCCATCCCTAGTGCCCCTCGGAAGGGAATTTTAATTTATAGGTTGCTCTGTGTTGTTTTAAGTAATGATTTTAAGCACTTGAAACTACAGAGGGGATAAGCAGGAGGTAATGAATTAGGACACTAATTATTTATTCCAGAAATTGTATCATCAGTAAGAACTGAATCAGTTTGTGCCCAGGTGTGGGGTTTCTAGCTGCCTCTTGCTGTTTCTTTATGTACCTGCCAGGAGTAGCAGAGGGTGTCCTATAGTGCTCATCCCTCCTTATACCCACTCCCCCATCCCACTCAGAGAGGCCTCCTCACACAAAACAGGCTGTGGCAGACTGGAGGCTGCTGTGTGACACCTCCACCAGAAGCTGGACAGAGCTGGACAGCCCTGCCTTGCAGCTGACCTTGCACTTGTGTCCTGAATGTGAATAATTAGCACCCACCTACGTAGAGATCTCCATTGATATTTAACTGCCTCATCTTCCCAGGGGATTTACCGGTCCTGGCACCATAATCGTCCACAGTTACTTTGCCAGACTGTCCGTCCCTGAAACAAAAAGCAAATCACTCTTTTTCATCCAGCCTACAGTCAGAAGGGAGGAGGAGCAAAGGCATTTTCCACTTGCCAGGAGACCACAGCAACTCAGAGCTGAGCTGGGTTCATGCTGATGGCTTGGAACTGGGAAGCCCCACAGACACAGTGTATTAAGGCCATCCAGACTTTTCAGGTCTTAGGATTTTTTTTATAGATGTAAAAGACCTGCAAAGTGTGCAGGACACATTTTCAGAGCAGAAAATAATCAAATTGAACAGGTAGGGGACAGAGGGGATGGGCACATTCTAACCTATTGTTAAAAATCAAATGTAATGTTAAAAGTTAACAGCAGAAGATTCGACAGCAGGGGAAAAATGGGCAAGCTATGGTAAAACTTACTTTTAGGCAGTTTTGTTACCCACTAGAGCCATTTTACATATGGTCAGTAACAGTATTAACAGGAAAGCTACTTGATGGGTACTATTCTCGCTGAATTTGGTAACAAGTTGAGCTAAATTTCAGACTGGATTTCCAGGGAATCAACCTCTCATGAAGAGAGGGATGTATGCTTTCGCTGCTGGACACAGCTGCCTCCCATGAGGTAATGAGTTATAAATATGAGTTATATATACACTGCAAGATGTCTGCACCTCCTCCAAATAGAAAAACTAGGTTTACACTGTCTGTGCTCCAATGCTTGTGCCAGCCCACAAAACGCTCACCAGGGAATTTTAAAATGCAGACATTAAAGAAAAATACTCTTGACCGAAATGGTACGGGTTTAACAGAATGTCTATCACAGCCCCAGAATAGCCCTGCATGACTTTGGCAGGCTGCCCTGAGCTGTGCCAAGCTGGCACTGTAACCTCAAACACAGCAACCCTTGTGCACATCATCCTGAAACAGCCAAGCTGCTAACAGCTCCACTCCTAAGTGAGGTGTGAGTGTGGAGCTGCAGTGATTCACACCCCACCAGCCCCCAGAGACACCAACCAGCATCTTTAATGGCAGGGTGGCCCCCAGGTGCCCCAGATGGAGCCTGCCCACTCATAAAACTGCTTTGACTCTGTGCCACCCAGGTGCCCCAGATGGAGCCTGCCCACTCACCGAACAGCTTTGACTCTGTGCCACCGGCCGTCGCTGAAAGAGCCGTTCACCGTGATGGAGGCAATGCCACTGCCCAAATTGTAGCTACAGTTAAAAAAAAAATTGAAATGTTACTGCCTTCCTTGAAAGGACCTGCGTGCCAAACTGCTCAGGCATCCTTACTCCCTTTTGGCTCGGATTTTGGGGCAATCAGTGGAGTCCCAGCAGCTGTGTTCTTATTTTTTTAAAGTCAGTCTCATGGACCAGCAGGAAAACTCCCTGAGTCAGAGTGGATGCCATCACCACCTTTCCATGGGAGCAGGAAGAGAGCCTCTGCATGGCCAGTCTTCCCCAAAGCACGGGACTATGAAGGTCAGTGATCTACAGTTTCAAATATGGCAAATAAATAAATTTCTGCAAGAGCAAATAAGCATGCAACCCAAAACTGATCTACAAACCGTTTGAAATATAGGGAAGGTTGAAACCTGTGATGTTAGAAAAGATGAAGTCTAATAAATGCAGCTGCTTCATTAGAGCTGCCACTCTAATTATTTCTTTGTGCTTGCTTCTACTAAAATAACTCAGCAGATATAATGTCCCCATCATGTTTACACTTCAGGCATCTTAATTTCTGGGTCCCTGAAGCTTGGGCCAACCTTAACAAAAGAGAAGTAGCTGCCACAGCACAGTGAGCTATTGAGTGCTCCGGATGAGCTAGCTGCTGCTGGACTTCAGCCTCTACAAAGCAGGAGGGATTAAAGCCAACATCACCATCTCTCCAAAAGAGACTGAACATGGAATGAACTCATGGCCAGGGTGAGCTTCTGAAGAACAGCACATTAAACTGTGAGCTGCCCAGTACAAACTGGTTACCCTAAACTTCCAGGGGTTCAAGTGAGTCTCAGGCAAGAACCCCCTTTTACCCAGGATACAGACACCAGTGTAGGTCAAAAACAAGAGGATTTGAGTGTTCAGGATTGCATCAAAATGTTAGACCTTTGATAACAGAAATGAGATTCATATCCCTTATGAATCCCACTACAACAGCTATCCCACTACAACAGTGAAGTAACCTTTGACAGAAGCAGGGAGCAACAGAAAGAATTTCTAGCAGCAAGTACACTGTACGTGGAATAAGGCCATAGAAAATGGGAAAGTAGAAGTGTGGTTTGGATTTCAAATTGGATCAGAACACAGATATCTAAACTTGAACTGCAGGAAAATTCTTCAGACAAATTCACAGCCCTGATAGTCTCTTGACTTCACCTCTCAAAAGATGAAAATCTAACATGAGGATCAAGCTTTCAGAATATTTTTTCTGCATTTGTCCTTTCACTATCTTCTCTGATGCTCCCCTTCAGTAAGCAGTTATTGCTTATGAGGGTTTTATTTTGGTAGATTAATTTTTCACCTTCCTAAATGAATGTGGAATGTACAAATAGTTCAGTAAAATTCATCCGGTTTGGTCTAAAGTTTTTGACTATCTTTATCTCTGAGAAAGAGCAGCAACCTAATAAAAATTTTACTGTGTTTTGGAAACAGAACAGAGTGGCCACTTAGTATCATGCATGTTAGAAAGACAGTCCCTTCCAAAGACATTTAAACAACACAGTACTTCTGCAGAGTCAGTTCCTTGTTTATAATTCAATGAGGAAACAAAGAGTTTTTGCCAAGTTAGCCACTGTTAAATCACATTTTATAAAAAGCTTTAAAAGAAATTAATTTAAATAGAAATGTGCAACTTATCTATACATTCATGGTAGCAAAGAACAGCCAGTTAAGTAAAGTAAAAAAAATAGCTTAAATAATAAACTCTCTGCCACATGACCAATGGTATCTCACAACAATCCACAATAGTGATGGCATCTGTGATTTGCTGTTTCAGTGTTTGCCTAACATAACCTAAAGGAGCACCATGAGGAAACACAAGGCTTTCAAAACACAGGAGACCCAAAAAAGCACCATGAAAAAACTTGCACAGGGTGTGCCTGAGTGAGTGCAAGGGAGAAAGAGATTCTGAAGCAAGACCCCAGCATTTCCCAACACTCCCCAGTTTCACCATTTTAGCAGCAGTATTACTGCTTAATTAATGATTCTGTGGACGGTGGCAGAAACAAGGTGTGGTGACAGCTGTGTGTGTGTCACAGGGCTGTATATCTGGGGGTTTGAGGTGGTGGAAGCCCTGCTCCTGTGTGCACTGTCTGGCAAAGAGTGAGCCCACAGTGAGCAGTGGCACCACCAAAGTTTGTCCTCGACCCCTGCCAGCCCTACCCTGCTCTGCCTGAGACAGATTTAATGGGTATGTGGGGGGCTTACCAAGAGTATTCATCCCCTCATAAGAAGGCTTTCAGAAAATCACAATAATGCCCTGATATTTGAAAACCTGGGAAGGAGGAGTGATGCAAATCTTGCAGCACATCACCTCTTCAACTTACATCCTCTCCCAGACAGCAAATGGGGTCCATCATTGAACAAAACTTTGAGGATGAGAGTGTCTCACACTGTGCCAAGGGACAAGTGCACTGTATGTGTTGTAGCAACTCCTTTGAGCCCTGTGTGTTACACAAACAAGGGAGAGAAAAGCTCACCTGAATATTAATGCTCCCTCCTGAAGGCCTAGAGAGATGAAATCGCTGTTGGGTCGCATGGGACTGTTTCCCCTCCACATCAAAAGGCCTTCCTTCATTGTGGTTTTAAACCTCATGAACACGTTCGTTCTTGTTCCTGATACTCTGTTTAATGTAGAAGGAGGAAATAATAGTAAAAAACTAAATTGTGCCAGTCTTCTTTCAAAAAAACATAAAAGATGATGCAGTATTTAGTCTCTGCTGGTCTGGTGGGTTACTCTCCTGCAACTCATTTACATGCTGATCTGTGAAAGATTCTGGCTCACATCCCCATTTCCATCATTTCAGAGTAGGGGAATTTAACTCATCTCTCTACACAATAGCTGCTAGGTAATTCCATACAATTAAGAGAAAATCCTTTTATTCCTCTAGCCTAGTGTGAAATCCTCAAAAAACAGATTTTGAGAAGGCCCAGTAGATGTGATGCCCTCAGAAGCCAGAGAAGGGCAAACCTGTAGGTGGGAGGTGAGGACACTGGTGAACCCTTCTCTACTCAGTGCCTGAAATAAAGGTAGATGGAGGAATTTGTTGAAACAAGCCAACATTTGCTGTAATGTGGGGATGTTCTAGGATACAAAGCAGCCAAGGAAGTAACTTTGAGGATCCCAAATGTTAGGCTAAAGCAGGAGTTAAAAAGGAGTTAAGGTCCTTAGTCTCTTTTGAGACACAAGCCCTCTATGGCTGTTCTTTGCCCACAAGGAAAAACCAGCCCCTCTCCCTATTTCTTGACAGGCTGCAAGATGCTCAAACTAAACCACAAGGATATGCACTTAAAATGCATTTTTCCCTGAAATTTAAAAATATGGCAGAAGTACAGTTAGAAATATTATAAGTACAGCTTAAAACATGTACATATACTACTCTCTCTCACATAAGGCTCCTAACGTTATAACATTTAGGAAACAGAATACTTAGGTCCACAGGAGATACATTACCTTTTCAGGATATCTGGATTATCATATGTGAGGTAACTGCGACCAATAAATTGTGGGATTTCAATTGCTTCTGTAATGGCTGAGAAGTCAATACAAAAAAATGAAGATGAGTGTCAGATAGCTGACTTGGAAATGGAAGGAAAAAAATACTCTTTTATTGATTTACTCCTACAGTGGCAGGTACCTACCAGCGACACAGAACTGAGCTGAACCCACACTGCTTTGCAAACAGGCACTGCCAGATTTTGCCTAAATGTAGGGGCAGCAGTTAAGGGAGTTTAAATGGCTGACAGTCCCTCTGCTTACAGCCTCCATGTCAGGAGCCTAATGTATTGCTCCACTACAAATGTTAGCGCAGAAAATTACGAAGCATTGGGAAAACATTGCAAATTTTCTCTTTACCCCCATTTCCACATTCCTTGATTCTCTATGTGGCCCAACACTCCCTCTTGCCAAAGGCTGTGCATTAACCACCTTTGTTTACAGGTTAAGAAACTCCTCCCCAGCTGCTAACAGAGCACCACATGCAGAGCACATTAGGGACCTCTCACCCTGCCAAGGGAGGCTGAAGGCAGCACACACAACCTGTGAGCTGCTCCCTGTTTTCTGTTTCAGTGTCTGTGACTGCCCTGAGTGGCTGCTGCCTGCTCAGAGCTCAGCCCTGGGGTGCAGTGTGGGGGCCAGGCTGTCTCAGGGAGGAGTCACAGAGTCCAGAGTCCCAGATCACTTTATTCTACTGAAAACAGCTGGGACTATGCTGAAGGCTGCATGGCAGAGGCTGTGGAGCCCTTTGGTGCACTCAACACTGCAGTGCAGCCTTGGGGGTCTTTTTCTGTGTCCCCCATACAGCATTTCTCTAGGAACAGCCCCAGGTGCCCCTAGGGTGTATGGCTGGGACAGTGGCAAACATTGCAGCCAGAACTGGAGTGGGTGCACTGCTGCCCATGGAGAAGACTTTGGCAAAGTAACTCAGCTGTGTGACATAAACCACGGAACATCCCTGATACAGAGCCCTTCACCAGGCTATGAACACTGGCCCAAACTGATTTTTTTGTTGAGTGAACATCCTACAGTTTGTTACTGATCTCCCATAACTGACTGCTGCATTAATATAAGCCAGTTGTATAAATTACTTAAAATAGGTGCCTTCATCCTATTTTCTTACTGAGGAATAATCCCTTCAACCCACAGCTAATCCCATCTTTATAAATTTCAAGCTTTCCAGGGCAAGGATGCTTGCTTTCTTTACGCAACACAGGGTCTGGCTGGGCTTTTAGAGCTCACTGTGACACAGATATGCAACAATTGGTGTAGTCTGGCAGCCAGCAACAGTAATATGAAATTTAGCTCTAGGTGCCAAGACTGAGAATTTTAGATAGTGATGAATGACTGTTTTCACCATAATGAAATCAGGAAAGCTGCCTAATGTGTCTAAAGAAACCACCACAGGCCATGTCCAGCCTGCAGTCTGCCAATGGCATTGGAAGATTGCAGAAAGTTGTGTTACACTGGCCAAACATTCATCGCCAGGTCTGACACTTCCTGCACTGGACAGCAGCCTCTGGTGGCAGCAGAGCATGAAAGGAGCCCTTGTTCCCCCTCCACACCCTGCACTGGAGCCTCACTGCTCTTGCCTTCAGCAGGGAAAGGTGCCCATGTCATGCAGCAACCTCTGCCTGTGCCAGAGTACTCTGATTTCCTCTAGAGAGCTTAATGGGCATTTACCTCTGCTTGCTCTTCATTTGTTTCTCTGAATCTGAGTGCAGAAAAACAAGCAAATTTTAGCAGTACCCTTGATGCAGTCAGGATCTTTGCAGCCGGAAGGGAGCAGAGCCAGTAAGGAAATCTAGGACTACACACCTTCATTCTTTGCTCATCGTGATTCAGCAGACAAGCACCAAAGCTCTCATGCCAAGCAGGAGTGAGCTCTGGACTGCAGGGCAGCCTGAAGTCACACCACTAAACCCTCAGCCAGCTACCTGGCCCTCTGCTCTGCAAATACAGGGACAGCTCTATAGCCACTGTTCTGAGCTTGGCAAATGCCAAGTTTGAAATATCAACAGTATGATGTTTAAGGAAGTACTATATAACCTTAGAAAATATTTTGGCTTAATGACAGAAACTTGCCAGGCTTAATGGGAACCCAGCGTCCAGACAAACACACAATGACAGCGCAGCTTTCACATAATTTGCAGTACTTACTGTTCAGGCAGTAACTTCCACACTCTGCAGTGAGTCAGCACAAAACAAAACAAGAACATTCTGGGTTTATTATTCTAAAGCATAAACATCTCTTTTAGTCCAACTTCATATCCACTTTTCTACAAATGTGTAATCAATCTCCCACCTACCATTTGCATAAGAGACTACAATCACCTGTGAAGGTAGTACTGTTTTCATAATTGGTTTGCTCCAAGTATCTATATTTGTCTGCTCAAAACACACAAAGGGACAGACAAGTGGGACCAGCAGCAAATCCTTCTGCTAGTCCTGCTTCTCAAATCTCAGTGACTCACCAGATTTTACCCAGGGATCAGCTCTAGCCAAGGGAAAACAAGAGTTTGCTGTTCTATTCTATCTTACAGTTAAAAGTATAAAAATATCTTTAGCACTCTCCCAGCTTGGACAGAAGATATAAAACTTAGCAATGCCAGCAAAAACTCTATTGAACCTTCTGGTAATGATCCATTACAATATGAATCAATATCTCATATACCTCATACCAGCATTACTTGAGTTTTTAAGTGGTGTGTGTAATTTTGAAGAATGAGGTGAGCTCCCTCAAAAGCACTTTGCTTTTTAGGGTTTTTTACAGCAGCCTACCACCAAGAAGGATGGAGACAGCACCTTCACCTCACATACCTTCTGAGTGCACTAACCAAAACCCTCTTGTGAAACAGAAGTGACACAGATGTGCATCTCACTTTAACAATGTCTACACCCCAACAGAGACACAGGTAAGGATTATTTTGAGGAATCTGTTTCAGGTGGTTCTCATCAAGGCTGTCAGGGACTGAGGTTCAGGAGCAACTCCATGCTTTATGCACATCTATCAGAAAAACTTTCAATTTTTTGGGGCAGCTGAGGCTGCACAAGTGCAGAGAGGTTGAGCTGCACCTGAATAGGAGCCACAGGTATCAGGAACAGAAACCAGGTGGCTCATGCTTTTGGACACCCTTAAAAATGAATAAAGATTGGATTCACATAGAAAGCAGCACCCAGGATCTGGCTAAAAAAATCATAGGCAGAAGTGCTTCAGACTGTCTCTGAAAGCCTGGACATCCACTGAGGTGACAACAGGGAGGACATGCCAGCCAAGTGGCACCACTGCTGGTACCACGGGCTCAGACACTGCTTCCTGGGCTCAGCACAGGCCAGGAGCTGAGCAGAGGTGAGGAGCTGCAGCCCCAGCACTGCCCACCAAACGGGCAGGCAGTCACACACCCGGCTGCCCTTGAATGACTGCCCTGGGACATGTGCTGGTACTGCTGCAGATACCACCTTGAAGCCAGGAATTTAGCACCCTGCACATACCTAGAAAGTCAAAATCCCAATTCTCCTGCCTCCCTACAGAAAAGCCAGGGTAAATGACGTTGTTTCAGCTCTTAGTTAGACCACAACAATGTAAGCAAAGTGGTTACTTGCATTGCATTTTATTATAATGCTTTTGTTCTAAGATATTGTCTATTTTGAAAAAAAAGCCAATATATTCATTGCAATTTAGCCAAAACCACTACACTTAACTTTGACGTTTATGACTGTGAGAAATGAAGCAGTGGGTGAAGACAATAATGTCAGTCACCTCTTCTGAACCGAGTTTACTGTTACATTACAAAACCTCCCCTCAGGAATTTTTTAAGATCAAGCTTGTCAGAAGGGAAACGACTCCATCTAGTGGAATAACCCAAAGCACACTTTTTAAATGCTTTTCTTGCAAACTTATCCCTTTCCTGAATCTAGGGTTTAAATTATTACAGTGGCTCTGAAGAAAAGAGAATAATGTGCACGTGGATGAGTTTTCTCCTTGGTGGTCTCCTTTGCCCCACCAAGGCAGGATCTGTGCAGATGGTGCAATCTCCATCAGAGCAGTCAGTGCCTAGAACAGGAGCAGACCCTGCTGTGTGTGAGAACAGCATTTGCTGTCAGCTGTATGGTGGATAAAATTACAAGGGTTATCCATGCTCATGCTTCAGGATGTAACATAACTGCTGGCTGGAGGACCCTGGCAGGAATTCCCCCTTTGCACAGCACTGCACAATGTGGGACGTGTACCAAGTGTGAGTGTTCAGTGTCGTTCACCACAAGCAACCAGATACCAGGTTGCTATCTATGGATCCTAGCCCCGTGCTGGGATAACAGTTACCACATTCCTAAATAACAAAACAAATTCTTCCCTAGATACATGGAAAGTGCACAGATGAAAGGGGTGCTCTGGCCCCCAGGGCTTCTATTTGAAGGCATGTACAGCAGCAGTTGTAGGTGCTAAATCTTCCTTATTTTTGTGATCAGCTCCTGACCCCTGGGTTGATATCCAGCTGTTGTTACCTTTTTGGCAATGCTGGCCATCGAAGCCCAGGGGACAGTCACACTCGTAGCTGTCCTTCTTGGGAACGCAGGTGCCTCCATTGGCACACGGTGAGGTCACACAGGGGTGGGCAGCATTTACCAGGTTGATTCCAAAACTGAAATCCTGTTTCACGTCAATTGTCCGGTCATTCAAGATAATCTATATGTTAAAAAAAAAAGAAAAAAAAAGTGTGAAAAGATAATGTTAACACTTCCAAATCCACAGTATCATACTGCTAGTTAGATTATTCCTCTGAAAGACTTCCTTGAAATGTAACTCTTGAAACTTGGCCCAAACCCTATTCTTGTGTGTTTTCCAGTTGCAGAGGTCCAATTCATACTTTGCTCCTCCTGATGCCCTGGAGATTAATCTCTTTTGTGTCCTGTGAAACAGCCTCAGGCAACTCCTGTAAGGGTGAAGCTGTGTGGAATTTACCAGGTCCTTGCCTGAACACTGGTGCAACACTGGTTGTAGCTGAACTGTGAGCTGGGATGGTAAAATTAGATGAGTGCTGCTGAAGAAAAGCATTTCTGAAATCAGAAAACCCCCCAGGAGATGAGTGTTGACAACAGAAATACTAAGCAGAACAGCTTTTTTTCCACATTTTCTATTGCTTTCTAGTATCTCATCTTGCCTGAAAGAAGCTAGAGTTAAGATGAATGGAAAACATAAATAATGACTTCACAAAACTGCTTGTATATAAATGGAAGAGAACTGCTAAATGCTGGGATTTTTCCAATATGTCACCAGCATATGTTCTCCAAAATAAACCAACATTTGTATAATCTCAGCTGACATCTCAGCAAGAGAGACTGCATGCAGGCACAGCATCTGATCTCAGCTACACCAAAATAAGTACATCTTAACAAACAATAGATTTTAAAGCCAGAACTGAGAAAGGTAATAGCTGCTCTGGCTCCTGCATAACTTGGACAATGCACCTTAGGGGATCCAGCCTGGAGAAGAGGTTACATAAAGCACCACACAACTCTAACAGCAGAAAAAATATCCAGTCCTGTCATGCAATGGACCAGGGAAGACTGTTATGTTTTCAGCTTCCTTCCAAATTTTGTTCCAGAGGTTAACAAGCCTCCACTCATAAAAACATGTCTTTTGTTTTAAACTTCTATTCAGTTTCCAGCCCTTGTTTCTCATAATGTCTTTTTCTGCATAATTCCAGGACCACGTATCCAAAAAAGTCTCATCCTTATCTAGAAACTAGAAGACCACAACAAAGTCACTTCTCAGACTTATCTAATTAAACTAAACATATTGTGATCTTAGGTCTTTCTATGCACTGCATATTTTCCAGCACTTGGTGATGTTTGCAGCTCTATTTCTGTATAGTTCTCCAAAATCCTACCATGTGTAAAGAAGGCAACCAAATGTTCCCAGTGCCCAAAAGGCAGGCAGTACTTTTCCTTGACTTCCCATTCAGGCCTCTGAGAATACAAATCCACCTTACTAAGTACATCATAGAGATAAAGGCTCACACTCTGCATTTCCCAATACTTATCAGAGCCTTTACTCTATTGTACGCCCCCTCACCTTGTAATTGTAACCTGTGTTAATTGCTCCCAGGCTCTCTATCTTGCATCCCAAAATACATTGTGTTTTGTCAAGTCTACCTTCCCAATGATGTTCACGTGTCTGACCTGTTCCTATCACTATTACTCACTCCCTCAGTTTTCCTGAGCTTCATGCTTTCTGCCGGACAGCTGACAAAGGCAGTAAAAATTGTCAGACTGAGTCACTGAACCATTTACACTGAGCTACAATTATTTATCTATCCTGGAGCAATTGTTAACTGTACAGCTTTAAATTCTTTAAAAAAAAAAACAACAAAACTATAATTAAACTTGGGGGTTTATTTGTTATTTCTTTGCATTAATCTGATGCAACTCACTCCTCTAAAACTGTGAGGATTCAGGGCCAACCTTTCAACTTTATCCAATTATTTTAGGTATGTTTAGAAAGAAAAATGTAAGTTCAGTTTGCACTTTCATTTGATTATTTACTAGGCCTTTACAAACTGCACTTATGCTCAGCTGACCTCATGGGAACATCATCCCCAATGTCTGCTAACAATGGAAAACATCTCCTCCATTCATGTGCCCCATATAAAATTGTGAGAGGGGAAAGCAGTATGGTGCTCATCTCCATGGTGCTGTAAGAATGCACTAGGCAGACTTTTCACTTTGAAATAATCATTTAACCACTTCATGGTGGGCTCCTGAGGTGAAATCCTTGATTATTTTGAATATTGACAGTCGAATAATGGCAGGTTTGCACAAAAAGCATGCATGGATACAACAGAAATAAATGCCCACAGTGTGTTTCTCTGGGCACACACCTTCTGGATGCTCCCACTGAAGGGTCTGAAGATCCCAGAGTTCTTCTTCACATCATCATAATTAGGGACTCCACCAATGAATATTTCAGAGCTGCATTTAATCTGTGTAAAAGCCCCCTGCAAGAAACACAGAATAATATTTTATTAGAGTAGCTGGAACCATGCTTCTGTCTTCAGATTAGCCCACATGAGTTGTCATATAGCTTATTTCAATGCCTCTTCTTTGTACAATCAAGAAAGCCATTGTGGGACATTCTTGACTGACTTTACACTACCCCTGTCAGAAGTAGCTGAAAAATCTCAAGTATTTCAAAATGGAAATACTGAAGGAAGAAAGAAACTGACTCATTGTGTTTTCTGACTACATATCTAGCTTTATTTGCAAAGACTTGAGGTACACTGATGTAAATCTGTAACCAGGTTCATAAAGCTAAAATCAGAGCAAAGTTCAGAGCAACAGAGACTCATTCAGTATTTCCAACATCTAAGAGGATAACCTACTGGAAGATATGGGGCTAAATGAAAGAAACATTGAGTTTGCATCAATTACCAGAAGCAGCTGCTCAGGATACCTGATGGGAATATTCAGGGTCCTGGAGTCAAGTGAAAGTAAATTAACAGCTAAAGACAGAATAACGTGTAACTCCAGTCCTCCAGAAGCTTCTGTGTTTTCATGGTTCCCAGCCACCCTCCTCCTGGAGCACTGCAATGCAGCACTTAAGAGGAAAAAATGGGAGTGCTCACCTTAACCCATCTATCTAAAGAAGTCTTGAGTGCTCCAGTCAAATGTTTCTCACTTGATTTGTTTCCTGATAGACAACTGGAATTTCAATTTATTTAAATTTTTGAAGAAAAGTCAAAGTTCTGATAAAAAAAGTTTCCCAGTTTTCTGAAAAGCCTGCTATGGGATTTTTCTGCTATGGGATTTTTTTGCTATGGGATCTGGAGTCTGGTTTTCTGTCTGCACTCTCCACTAGATAAAAGACATTTCCCAAGCAGGTCTAACCTTGGCTTTTATCAAGATAGAAAATGTATCTCTGTGCAGGCATTTAAGTGCTTAGAGTGAATATCCTGCTCGGTACAAGTACAGTTTCACTTTATTACAAATTTGACTCACAATGATCACTTGGTGAGTGAAGAACAAAAAGCAAGTCATCGACTATCTAATCGTTCCAGCACTTACTCTGGCCTGCAAATTACTTTAGCAAGAAGAAGACAAAGAAACAATTCTCTTCAGTTCTACCTTTCCAGGACAACATTCAGCAGGAGGTGAAAAAAGACTGGGCACATACTTTTCAGCACGATACTTCCCCAAATTACACCTCTCATAGTGCACACGTTGCTCAACAGATTTAGGCACAACAAGAGCCAACAGAAGAACCTCAGGAGGATATATGAGCCAGAACTAAAATGTGAGTTCAGTTCCGTGTCAGGAGCAGGTACAGTTGGGTTCCAGTGGGATCCCTGCCTTTATGGGTGTCCTTGTCCTCAGAGGGAAGACCTTACGCACAAATTCCCAACTCTGGGCCTAAGACAATGTTACCCTAAAGTGGACACTGTTTTAAGCGAGTAAGAGCTTTGAGAGCAGGCTGTGCAGCCTACCATGCGATCACTGTACAGTCCAAGAGCTGCCTTCAGGACTGCCATGAGCTCACCTCTGCCATCCCTTCCACTGGCCTCTGCGTGTCCACCTGCAGGATCCCATTCTTGGCCGTGCGAGACACTCGCAGTTCATGCCACTGGCCCAGGCTCACAGGCTCTTCACTCCTGTTCCAAGGGAAAGAAAAGTTTCAAGCATGTAACACTGTGCCTTTCTGATACTCTGCAATGTTAAAAAGTCAAGTCCTCTGGGATGATTTTCTAAATAAAAAAGAAGTATTAGCCACTGTGATTCTTCCCTTTTTAGAAAGTAACAATCTTCTGCAAAGACTATAATTCTAGAGCAAATAAAAAGCACTCTAGTTTTATTTATAAATGAAACACTATCACCAGCACATACTTTAGCCACCTCTGCTAAAGGTAAGTTTTTCTGCTCAGTACTTTATAACACGTAAAAACGAGTTTTTGTCTCATCCTCAATTCACTAAAAGCCTCCCACTTAATGGCTGGTCTAGCCCCACATTCTTCATCCTCTTTTAAAACAGAACTACTTTATGTTGGCTTATCAGCTCTATTTATGCATCCTGTTACATTGACATCTACACACACACACGTGCAGCCCGGATGCTGTACATAGAAGGGAAGTAATTAAAAAGTTATCCTAATGATGTGATGAGATCTTGGCTAGGAACAATAATCCCCAGTTGTGCAAAGTATTCACCAGTCTCAAAGGAAGCATTTTTAAACAGTTCTTACAATCTTTATTGGCACAGCACTAATATGAATAGCAGCCTGTATGAAGGGCAAAACCATATTCCCCTTCACAAGTTCTATAGATCTTTGTATCTTGTTTTCAAATGCCATTTTACTACACTGGTTAAAGCATTTTATGTCTAAATGAGATGTAGCAGACTTTCCTCCAAAAGGACTGGAAACTTGTGTTTGATTTACTGACCAAGCTGGAAAAATCAGAACTGTGTTATCTTGGACCCCTAAGACTTCCTAGCTTCAGTGAAAAAATACACAATTTCTGGGGATGAAAAAATGTTTTGTATTTTCAGAATACTTGCATTTAAAAACAAACAAACAAAAAAAAAACCCCATATTTTGAAATGAAAAAAAAAAGGAAAGAAATTGTAATCTGAAATAGTAAGTCAATAGTGATTCAAATGCTGATTAAAAAATTTATATAATTTTGAAAATGTGAAAATAATATTTTCTTTTTTTTTCTTAACAATCAACAGTTTTGAAACCTTTCTGTTGTGGTTTTTTTTTTTTTGATCCTTGAAGTTTTCTTAAAGCTCATTTTTGTGTGTTTTAATGATGCTGCAGTATTATTTGACACTTCTGAATGATACTTGGTTCACAAAACCTCCACTAAAAATATTATCAAGCAATGCCAGTCACTTGTCCTTCTTCTTATGTAGCACCATTTAGGGTTTAACTGTCTTGGGTAAATCAACAGCTAAGGAAATCTAATCACCTTGAAGAAGTCAACATATACATATAAAAGAACCAGATAGGTTTGGCTACATGGTAAGTGGCCATACAGACATTATCTCCTCTGCTGCTTAGGTCTCATCATGCTAACCCTCCTGCTTTGCTAGATTTAATTACAATCAGGGATGATTAAGCCTTGCAGAGTCATCACTTCAGAGCTGCAAGCTCTTTTGTGGAATCATGGGCTTTTTGAAACCAACATGAGTTTGGTAACACTTTCTTCTGATGGTTGAACACTCCTGGCTCTTCATGTGCTGTGGGGTTACTTTTTCCCCATGTAAACCAAAGCTTAAAAAATATACCAGATCATGAAGATCTGGATGCTGCTTGGCCAAGGGAACTCCCAACAACTTCTCCTCAGAGACATTTCAGTGCTCAGGTTCTGCATCGCTTCTGCCTGTGGAAGAGCACACTGTGCTGCTTCCATCCTGGGACACATCAGGAAATCACAACCTTCACCTGCATCAGCTCTCCTACTGCTGCTGCTGACGTACACAAATAAGCTTGCCTCATCCTAATTATAAAGTTACTATGGCTGTGTTCTGATTATAATATAATGTCTAACAGCCTGGTGGTCCTGTGGCAGAGGTATCAGGATGACCAGAGCTATATCCTTGTTACAGACACAGTGTAGGCATGATATAGTGTGATTAAGATGGACTTTTAAGTGGACATTGACCAGGCAGGCATGAAAAGCAGGGAATCTATTTGTCTTGTTTAATCACTGACAGAGCTGATGACAGGGTGCAAGTTGCACATTTTATCTAGAAAAAGAGCTAACAGGACAACCTGACAACTTTCAGTGAATCCTGGTGGTCTCCTGAGTCTCATCCATTCCTCAGCTACCTCACCACACTCTTTTCCTCCACTGCATGTAGCTCAGGCAGTAGCTGCCATCCAGCTTGCTCTTCTGCTTTCCAGCAGAAAGGGGCAGTTTCTACTCCCAGGCATATGCTTGTGGCTCTCTTTACATTTCATAACCCTACATATCAGTTAAACTTTAGTACAAGGTGTTTTGAAGTGCTACAATATTCTTGGAAGAAAAGAAAAAAATTCAACTGTAATATTTTATGGTTGCCAGTAACAGGAATTAGAAGGCTGCAATCACTAAAGATTGAAGGCTGTTGTAAAAAGGGCTATTCTGAGTTGGAGAAAAGGTCTCCAAAATTAGCTATTTGGAGCAAAAGAATGGAATAGGGCAAGTATGAAGTGATTCTTCCCTTGATATATCCTCTCAGCTTCTGGCAACTTGTCATTTAGCAATTTCCTGAGTCAGAGGCTGCATCTGTACAATTGCGTTTGATCTCCCTCAATGGAGCTTTCTTCAAATTTCTCCAATTTTTCTTAACCTATTTATAGTTTTGGCATCTGTAACTTGCTGTGACGATTAGTTTCCACAACTTATTTATGTACTCCTCTGAAAAAAAAAAACAAACCCCAAACCCAAAGAAAAAAAGTCTTATTTTCTTTCATTCCTTATTTTCTTTGCACATTGGAAAAATACCGAATCCTCATTAATCTCCATGCCATTTATTATTTTAAAACTTCTATCATACTTCCACCAAACTCTTTCTTTTCCAGGCTGAAAGGTTCTGCTGCGGAAGAGTTTTGTGGAAGATGTTTCATTCCCTCTCCTGGATGTCAAAACTACTCTTCCTTTTTAATTTTGCTAATTTCTTTTGAAATGATGCAACCAGAATAGCAGCAAGTTTTCAAGACAGGGTGCATTGTGGCCTTCAGCAGAGGCATTCTCCTTATTCCATTCCTAATAATTCTCTGCATTGTACTTAGGTTTCTGTATTTGTCTCTAAACAGTTTGCTGTTGCTTCCACAGAGCTACCCATGACGACTCCAGGATCTTTCTCTGTCTGACAACACTAACTGTTTTTCCACAGCTCTGCATTGTTAGGCTTGTGCATTATTTTGCATTTGCTCCCTTTATATTTCATATCTAATTTTGTCTGCAAAACTGAATGGGTTTGTTTGCTTGAGTCCTCATTCATTGCAAAATCAGTACATTTTCCCTAATCACAGTATAGTCAAAATTCCTCATGCCCATCCACAGGAATCATTGGTATGCAAGACTTGCAGACAGAGTACATATTTTGCATAAACTTTATATAGATCATTTCTAAATATCAGGTCAGCCTGGTCAAACTGGCAGCCTCCTGGGCCATATCCAAGATACTCAGTGCCTCTGTTCAGCGCAGTGCCTTTTCAGAAAGCCCAGGAACAGCTGCCCAGTGATTGGGCACTCAGTTACACAGGGGGAGAGAGCAGTGTTTTTGAGGCACGAGACATTAATTTTAGGATGCAATGAGTCACTTACAGAAGGTCTGTCTGGGAACCTTGGTGACCAGGTTAAACCACATATTTATGTTTTAGACAGCTTACGTTGTATAAATTGGATGCTAGCCTCAGGTCCCTCAAAAACAGCACTATGAGGAAGTGGAGGGACATGGAGCTGTCTCTTCTTGTGCCACCTCCAGCCTGGCACCCCTGCTTGGAACTGGAAGCCAGAAAGGAGGATGCTCACATAAGTGCCAATATTGTGAAATCCTATGGCTAGAAAGTATATGCATAAAATATTTCTAGACCCCCTAACAGTGTCATGGGGGCAAGAAGGGAACTACTGCAATACCATATAGACACAACTGTAACATCTGCAGTAAGATAAAGTATAAAGCTTTGAAATACACTGATGTAGAAAAAAAATCCTGTCCCCTTGACCAAAATTATTGTGCTTAATAGTGCTTCTGTGCTTCCTCAGAAGCAGGCACAAGAGACCAAGGGGCTCACACGCCTCATCGTAGGCTGTGACCCTTTCCAGCCCCCTCCTCTGCTGGATGAGCACCGTGGCACTGCTGGGAAGCAAACACCATCTTTGGGAGGTGTTAATCATGCATTTACCTGATAACAGCTGTTCCTGAGCCACAGTCAAACCTGAACTCCACGTAGCCAGCCACCAGGGTGATGGAGAGGAAGTCCTTGCTGTCTGTGTCATAGCTGTACAAAAGGACACCAGTCTCTAAATCTGGACGAAATGTCAGCTCAAACTCCATGAAGGAAAGGTAATTCTGTGGTTCCAAGGGCCAGGGTGTGCTAGCAAATGATCTTAAGGATTCGTTGAACTGAGGTATGGCCAAGGTGAGTGCTGGAAATCCAGAAATCACAAGTAAGTCACTTGAGGTTCAAACATAAAGGATTGACTCTTACCAACCAGTGTCTGTTCCTTGTGTTAAGTACTTAAGCTAATGATTAGCAAAACAACCTGATTTTTTTTTCATCTAAATTAAAAATATTTTATAATCCTACCCAATACTAGTTAATCCCTTCCTTTTCCAGGGATGTATTTGTACTGTAAAGTATTTTGTACCTTTTCTTTAGTGATTCATAATAGTTCCTTTCAAAGTAGCAAGCATGCACACAGTGGGTGGTAGCATGAAAATTTCTACAGCACAAATAATAAGGCCAGATGTATTTTACTACTTGCATCTCTGATATTAGCAGGCAATTGACATTATGTCCTTTACATTTCAAAATATACAACTGACACTGGTTTTAGGAGAAAGGTGGGTATTTTTTTAGGATTAATGAGCAGCTGTGGAGTGGTACATTATTTTAACTTCTGAATAGTAATTTCAAGATTCTTAAATACAGTTAGCTTAAATAAGCAGAGATGTTTGAGAATAACAGATTATGTAGGAGCTGTATGTAGCTCCAAAGCAGTAAGAGAAACGTTTCAGTAGGTGACTTAAAAAAGATGAAGTAACAAGTATTCTCTTCTGTCAGTGTAACACTATGGACCTCCTCAGGTGTCTCTAAGTGGAAAATACATCAAACACTAAATAATACACACAAAGAAATAGAGGCATCGCAGTATCCACTCACCCTCCTCGCAATGATGACCTTTAAATCCAAGAGGACAAAGGCAAATGTAAGAGTCTGCTTTGCTTGCAGTACAGGTGCCACTGTTGATGCAGGCTGCCTCATCACAGATGCCACTGCTACACTCACCTAAACACAGGAGTCAGAACATCAATTTATTGGAGAAGTTTGTCAAAGATTTATTTGGCTGTTGATGGTTGCTACTAACCAACACAATTTGCTCTTATGCCTAGATTCTTTCCCAATTTGTCAAATGGCATGCAATTTAGACAAGGGAACTTGATTATCAGTATTTTTTTTTAAATATCAGACCAGCAAGACACCTTATAAAAAGCAAAAAGTAGCCCTTACAAGCAAACCATGATAGAAATAACATTCAATCATTCCTTGGATTACTTATTGTCTGCTCTTCTTCCTATTTTCTCATAAGATACAAATTTCTCTAAATTGTTTACATGCACCAAGCCTGGTTTAATTTTAATTATCTTAAGTGCTTCTTAGCTCACTATAAATTCATGCTATCCTGAGCATGGAAGGTGTTAACATTATCAACTGATCTTATTAACCAAATGAGGTTGTCAACCCTCTTGTCCACACTAAAAGGGATCCATATCATCAACACATGGACTTTTTAAGCAGCATCTCTACTATGCTGGCACATCAATTTAAATAATAAGGATGTCATTTCTTCTTGCTGGATTTTAGCTGAAATTGTTGTAGAACAAATAAATTCTCATTTGCTTTTTAAAACTGATATCTATAAAACTGTCAATCTGAAACTACACAACCATCAAATGTACACCTGATGGACGTTCTTGTTGAATTTATTTTCTCCTTTAGTTTCTGATCAAATAACTCTCTCCTCGTCAATAGTAACAATTGATTACATTATCTGTATACATTAAGAGAGACCAAGTTGTGGTGTACAATGGTAAGTACACCATTTGGAGGGGCTTAGTTTGCTATAGCAAACTAAGAATTACACATTTATTTTGAGGGACATTGAAATATCACCTCTCAGATGACAAAGGTTTCATGAGGCAGTTCTGGCAATAAACACTGGGGAAGAGTTTTGCAACTTAAAGTGATATAGAGAAGTCTTGAAAAACTATTGCAAGAAGGGGATATGCCCTTTTTTTTTTGTTTAAACACAGCACTCTGATTGCAAGGACAGTTTTGAAAGCAGGTCTCTACAGATCATCAGCAAGGCACTGGTGTTTGTACAGCACCAGCTTTACAGTTTGAATTCCCATCCCAAAGCCAGAAAGAAAACCACAAACAAAAATGCAGATATAAATGGTGGATGTGCTGGTCCAATCACTCTGCTCTCCCCAGTGGAAAACAACCTTTTCTAACTAACTCAGGGCAGAAGCAGAAACAACTCACAGATCATCTGGTACCACTCCCTGATAGACCAGACTTGTCTCCTATTGCTCATCTACAAATCTCCTACCAGGACCACTTTTCATTGTAGGGAGGGCAGGTCTGACTACAGCAGCCATGACACAGGACTCCAGGGCTGACCCGAGGAGCACAGACAAAACATAAAAGTCCCTCAGCAAGGAAAACATGCTCCTTTTTCATGGAAGGGGACAGTTCCATCTGCTCCATGCCCAGTCATGGGATCAGGGGTGCTGGCTGTGCTCATCGAGCTGTCTTTGCCCCTTCTGGCCTGCACTGTAATGGCCACAAGTGAATCAAGGCAGGACAGGTATCTTGTCCCTCAGATACACTCACCAATTATTGTGACACTGACAGAATAGCACTAGCTCTGTTTTACAGGCAAGGAAACAGAGCCAAGACGTGTAAACAAGGATCTCTATGCGTCAAGTGTGTGATCTCTGTGCACCAATGCTCATCTTTGCTGCCTCTGCTCCAGAGTTAATGTTGACAGTATGTTCCAACAGATCGGAGTTAAACAAAGTCTTTGAGAAACAGAAAAGAACAAGGAAGACAACAACAACAGGACCAGTCATGGGACACCTGATTTGAGAAACAGCTTGAACTGGAGTAGTGTTGATATTTAAGGACATTGCTCTCCCAGTGTCCCAGTGGCTTTTCACAGCCTTTGGGCCAGCATAGGTGACTATGCTGAAGAGGCAAACCACAAGTGTGGTGGCTGCATTTGCTTGGCTCCAATGGCAGATAAGAAGGAGAGAAACTGCAGCAGCAGTCCCAGTCCTGCCATGTCTGCTCCAAACCATGCCCAGTGGTTGGACCATCCTCTGTTGGTCCCTCAGCTCACAGTGGGACCTCTGCTGTAGCCAGAAGGGATGGATGGACCCCTCTGCTCACCACCCTCAGTTCTGTGATCCATGTAGCATGTAGCACAGCACTCCTGATTTATATATATATATATATATATATTTCTGTTGGCACAGTATATATATATATATATATATATATATATATATATACTGTGCCAACAGAAAAAAAAATATATATATATACTGTGCCAACAGAAAAAAATCTCCAAGTGACTGACTCGCAAAAGTCATTCCTAAACCTTAGCAGAGCTTACTTGCAATTTTTTTTATTTTGAGTTATACTTACATGACCTATTGTTTGCAAGTCTCTTCTGTTACAGTTTCATATAAATAAATGTGTGCAGTGACACAAGGACAGCAAGGCTTTATCAGTCAGTTTTGAGTCACACATGGCAGAGCGCAGCATTTATTTTCATTGATGTTGATTGTTAATGCAGTAGTATGTGGAGCATTCATGGATGGGAATGAAACTAGCTGCATCCCAAGAGGCAATAGAGATTAGGGCTAGAGAAGTTCAGCAGGGCTTTCATCTGTCTAAATTCCATAGATTCTCAGTCTATCATAAAATTACACTCTGATTCCAAAATCTTACTCTTTTCAGCAACTGTTTCTTTGGCCAGTCTGTTCTACTCCTGCATTGCACAGAAGTTTGGCCATGTTATCTAGAGAATACAGAGCAATTGTTAAGAAGTTTCTCATAAATCATTTCCTTCTTGGGATGTCAAGTGCACGGCTACAGAAGAGAAGAAAGATGACATTGTGGCTGAAGCACGGCAGGGAGAGTTCAGTGGTATGGAATCTATTTCTCGCTGCTAGAACTTGCCTTCTGTCTTGGGTTTACCCTTATTCTTGCAATTTTAAGACTGGGAGATCATCAAAGTAAGGATTTTGTTGCCCTCCCTTTTTTCAAGTGCCCATTAAAAGGATGAAATATATGAATAAATAAGACGGGACTAGTTAATTAGCTTCCCTACTTCTCCATCTTTTACTCTGTGAGGGAAAAATAATTTTATAATAATACTTCATAAAGCTGCTGGAAGTATTTATTCCAAGCTATTTTTAAATCACATCCATGGCTCTGGGTAGCAAAACAAAGGATGGTATACAGGAAAGCCTATATGCTTCAGCAGCAGTTGGGTGTAACACAGAAAGCCCTCTGTAACATCCACAGGGCTGCTGTGGGCCTGAGAGATCCATGTGTTACTTTGGACAAGTGCAATGATGTCTTTAGGCAAAATGCATTTTGTTGGGTCCGTATTGTTTCAAAGGCAAGCTCAGCATACAAACTATTGATTTCTGAGGACATGACTGTGTCAGTCAGGGGCATGAAGCGGTGCCCTGAGAGCTGCTGGCAGAAATACCGGCGCAGTTGTAATGATATCTGCAACACAGATCCTACTGTTCACTGTTGAAAAGGGGTTTACTATTTGCTGTGCACAGGATGTCCACAGAGGGCTTACTGGTGCAGTGTGATGAACTGTCCTACTACTGACCCAGCAAGAGCAATGTGCAAAGGAACAGAGGAAAACCATTGAAAAGTAGAGACGGTGCCTGCACCCCCTCAAACCTGGACCACCGCTCAATTTGTCCCAACAGGATAAAAAGTAAGCCCTGGTTAGTCACTGATAAAAAGCCCCACACCATTGCACTCACCAACATCAGCACCACTGAGAGCTTTCCCTAATGGCCAGGGTCTCATGTCAATTGCCTTCCCATTGATGCTCAGGGCCTGGACGCAGCCCTGGAAGCCGCGGTTGGTGCCGGCGGCCCTGACCAGCCAGTACACGCTGGGAGCACCGCCAACGTAGAAGGGAGTCTGGAACGTGATCTTGCTGTACTGGCCCTAAGGGAGAGCAGAGCACAGCATGCTGTGTAACACATGTAACACAGGAGAAATCATTAAGCCACAGTGCTTTACAATCCTTTTTTTTCCTCCATGAAGAACTGTGTCAGGGAATGTTGTTTGTTGGTAATTCCTTACCATTCGTCATTCCCTAAATCAGTACACCATTTGAAATCAACCTTTTTCACCTGCATCCCATCACGATAACAAGAACTACTAAAAGCACAATAAAAAAGACTAGAAATCACTGTTTTGAGGAGAAAGCATCGTCTGTCTTTTGCTGCAATTTCTTCCTTTCTTTCTGCCAAAAAATTGTTCGTCTTCTAAACGGCAAGCCCTGAGGGATAGACCAATGAGATATTGTCTTTTGGACAGAACCCAGCAAGTGTTTGGTATTTAATAATTATGAAATGACAAAATAAGGTAAAAAAACAAAGAAAAGGCAAAAGCCAGTAAAGTCGCAATTTCAGCGGGGTTCTGCTCACTTTGCCATTGCTAAATGTACTGCCCATCTCTTTAACAAATCTATAGAAATCTACATATATAAGTTTACTAAAATTGCTACAGTGAAAGAACAAAAAACATCAAAACCAACAGAACCTTTTTGTATCACTGACCCAAACTCCATGCTACTTCAGCCAAATGAGTCACAATTCCCTCCACAAACTGATCAAAATGTGACTTCTGCCTCCTACTCAACAGCTCTTTCAAAACCCCACAGACCTTTAGAAGAAAATATTAAAAATTCTCAGTTATTTGGGGCCAGGTTTTACCCACCTGTGCTTTTGACAGCACTGACCTCTAGCCTAAAATCTTTCAAGATTTTTCACCCCTGCCCTGCCCCCATAGTGTTTATAACAATATATTCTATCACCATAGGCTGTATTTGGCCAGGCTAAATAAGCTGAGGTTATTGAGTCTGCAGGTGTTCACTTGCACAGTACACTGCAGAAGCTGTACACATCTCTCCTGATTCACATCTGCCCTTTGCATGGCCTCAGAGCACTGGTAACAGCAACACATGACACACTGAAATTCTTTCCTCTGTCATTTCCAGCTGATGAGAACTCAATACACTGCAATTTTTTCTCTTCAATGCCTGCACATAAAAGTGGAAAGTAATAAGACAACTGAAGCAGCTTTCTTTCAGGGCTAGGGATGGCATGTTAATAGTGGCTATCAAAGGATAGACAATTTGAAATTGCCTTTTCTTCCAGTGCCTTAATTTTGTTTTCTGGCCCAGCAACAAATGAGCAAGTCAAAGCATCTTCCTGTATTATATTTTATCTTGTCAGCCTTGTATGAACTTGCTGGTGTTAACATAAGTCAGGGCAGAATGTCTATCTCTATTACTATGCTTAAATCTTTGTCCAGAATATGCATGTAATTATACCTCTGTATACAAATCTCGTGTGGGTATATGCATCTTATACATAAATATATACTCATACACACATATGCATCTAATTTTTATGCCTGAGGAAGCAGAGCAGTTCTCTGAGGCTTAAAAAAGAAAATAATCAGGGACAGCAGCTGTGCAATCTAGTAAACTTCTAATGGCCTGTATTTGAGACTGGCATAGGGTAGATGAAGGGTGGCAGAGCAAACATGGGGTACAACAGGGAAACAGTGATGGGATTCAGCCCTGAGATATTTATCTCTGTGATTTCTAAATTATGTATTTGGAAGAATAATCTGTACTCTGATCTCAGTTCACTAAATGTTCTAACATCAATAAATAAAACTGCACCTTTTAAATCTGATCAGACTTCTGGTGGCAAGAAAAGAAACATCATCACAACCTTGAGAGACCCCAAGATTGAGCCACAAGGGCAGGATTACCAACCTGAGATTTTCCTGTCACTGGAGCATTGTCGTCCATCCTGAGCCAGCCATTCACCCCATCTCTGAACAATGTGACACTGTGCCAGTTCCCCAGCTTGATTTTGTTTTCACTCGTTATGATTCCAACTCCTGTACCACAGTTGAACCTGGGATCATGAGATAGAGAGGGCAAGGTGACAATCTTACATTGACCAAATAAGCAAAAGTTGGTTTTAGATTCCAAATATTCTTTCTGCACTTGGGAACCTCTCTGTTCCACACTGCATATTAGCACAGGAAATTCAGACAGCAAGTCTACGTAAGATCTGTTCCAAATTTCAAACTTCATTAATCTGTCTTTCAACGTGGAGAAGATTTTGCATTCTCTGTCTGTACCAAGCGCATTGCCAAGCTTGTCAACAGCTGAAACTCTTTCAAGATGGAGGGTATTACAATCTGAGCTCCTGCTATCACAGTAATTTCTCCTGGGAATTTTTCTAGCTCCCTGGTGAAAGGCAGTGATACGTTAATAACTCTGCTAGTCTACTTGAAACTCGATTGACAGGAAGACCTCCAGGAGAGCTGAATGTGCACAAAATGTCCCATTTTCCCTGACTGTCATGCAGTGCAGGTGAACAGAAACACAACTAAGGCACACCACCCACTTTGTTATTCCCCACTTTTAAAGGACTCACCCTCCCAATTTAGGAGATCCCAGAAATACTCTCTCACTTGCTTCATATCTATCAGACTGCAAGAAACAGTCTCCATCTTCATTTAAGAAACCTAAACAAGGTATCATCTAAACAAAACATATAAGATGAAGTTCCTGGCCCCTTGCTGTCACTACATCCTTTGTTTTGCTACATTATCTCCAAGCCATTTTCTGTGAAGCAAAAACACTGACTCAGTATACCACCAATGTACCATCAGCTTAGCAAATACAGTGGCTCACTGGCATTTCTGGTAACATAGCTATGAGCCCCAGACAAATGTCTTAAAGAAAACTGATCATTTTGCCTTTACTCTGAGGTCTGAATAAAAGAGCTCAACAGGGCCCATGTTCACACACTAAAGAAAGATGAGAGAAAAAGGTATTGAAGTACTCTTAAATGAAATTATACTGTCCATTTGGTGCTCTGTATGGGGCAGAAGTCAAAGACACTGGAGATACTCATCACATGTAGCAGTCCCAGGAAGCAGCAATAGCCCTGTCTCTTTACATCAGATTTAGGATGGAGGTTTTACCTGAACTGGAGGCTACGTCGGATGATTGCCAGTGACATAAAATCACCACGACCATGCTCATTTTCTCCACAGTACAGCAGCAAACCATCCTCGGATTCAGCCTGCAATCATTGCGCCAACATGAAAAATCAAAGCCTCACAATTACAGATAAAAGCAAGCAGTAGTGGGGGACTTTTCTCCAGAAAAGGGTCATCATTTTTCAGAATGAGTTTTTAACTTCCCGAATCAGAACTTGTTTGATCAGTTTTGAATCCTGCATTTGAAAAACCTAGAAAATCACTGCCTTAATGGTTAAACAATTTAAGACCATCTCTTAAAGTACGATACTATCAGACCTGAAAAAAAGCCTGGAAGTATTACAGACTGTCAGACATATCCTATACGAGACTCGTGAGTAAAAAGTCTAGCAAGAATATCCTAGCAAGCCTGGTAAGTGTTGACACATCAGACACAGTGTGTATGAATACATACACCCTACTTCACATGTTCCATGAGACTGACACTCCTCAAGCCAAACAGGCTGTGCTGGCAGCAATTCTCCATATGCTTATAGCAGCTGGCACAGTGGCTTTTTGCAGCCATCCTGCGTTTTAAAATGGCAAATTGCCAGGGGAGTGTAAGATCAGCACTGAGGCGACTGATTGCTGCTGTTTAGTAGCAGTCTCCTTCCCAGATTGTCTGCTTTATCTGGGGGTGGGGATGCATCCAAGAGCTTGGCCACCCTCCCTAGAGGCAGCCCTGCATGTTCTGTCCATAGCGAACAGACAGCACTAACACAAGCCAGCATGGGGTTTATCCCCACTTTAGTCCTGCATTTTAAGTAATACAGTATCCTGAATGTATCAGTAGCCCGTGTCCCAGACTTCAGAGGGAGAAAATAATGTCCACTTAAACCCTGCAGGGTGGGAAAGGAATGCTATTCACAGGGCAGTGTTTTGCTTAGTATGACAGGATCATCATCTCTTGTCTACAAAGATACAGTATACCACTTTCAAACTCTAATTCACAAAAAATTCTGTGTGTTCTTCAGCCTGTAGCTCATCCACCTGACTGTAACCTCACTCCTGTACATTGTTGCTAGCCCACAACTACGAGTCCCAGGGGTTCTCTCATGCAGCACCTACCAACAATGGATGAAAACCCTTCAGCTGCTTACAAACTTAATTCACATTCACTGAGGGTCGAGCCAGATCTCTGCAGATGAAGGTTACACACAGGTTCACGACAATTACACTGAAGCTATACTGAAGCTAAGTTACAGCTCTATTGTCCACCACATCAGAGTGAGAAAATAAAATTTAAAACACCAGTCTGAGAATTCCTTAAACTTACCCTGAATTCAAGAGTAATTTGAAATGTCTGATAGGACTTTTTCAGTGGTTCAAAGGTGATATATGAGTAGCCAAAGAACTGGGGATACTGGATACTAATATCTGAAAAGCAAAGAGGAAAGCATGTTATTTAGCAGTTCTTTTCCGAATAAAAATCAATATACACATTTAGTGCTAGATAACATCAAGTGGCAATGAAAGGCAGAGTTCCTCCAGAGACAACCATTAGGCAGTAGCAGTCAACAATCAGTTAACCTACTGCCTTGTCCTCCCACCATTTTTTACAGCTAATTCCTTTATTCCCAAGGACCTGGTGAACTTGGAAAGAAACAGGATACTGAGGGCCAAATAATGCTCAATAGTTGAATCAGAGAATTCAGAGGAAATTTTGGCAGGTTTTCATCCTTGTTATAGAAGAAAGACCAAACATTATCTTCTTTTAAGGACTGATTTAAGAAAGAGAGGACAAAGTAATTTTCTGTTCTGCAGGATTACAAAAACACACATGGGAAATACGGCCAGACTCTGGGCAGCATTAGTCACTGCTACTCTGTAGCTGCTGCATCCAGCATCTGGAGAATCACTGGATGTCTCATAACAGCCCAGCAGCTTCCAGCACTTCTCTCAAATCAGCTCAGGGCAGAAGCTAAAAGGAGTGATGGGGAAAAGAGAGTCCTTGCAGGCATCTTTCCATCCCTGGCTGCAACAGTGGCTCTTTTAATTGCTCTTGTCAAATGGCATTATCAACCCTCACCCTTTGCTGTCTTGTGTTAGACCCTGTCCCTGAGAGAAAATGAAAATTAGAGATGTCTTACTGCTAGCCACTGTCAGCTGTAAAATTACCTTTGCAGCCTATTTTCCTTAGAAGCACTGAGGAGAGACACAGTTTCAGGCCTGAGTTTTTATATGGACAGTGGATTTAAGTCTAATGAGGAAGGAAGGATGAGGATTCCTATTCATCTTTGCTATTTAAATATTGAGTTTTCTCACTCAGTTTTTGAATCTGAGTTCTCTCAGCATTTTTGCTTGCAAGGCATACATTTTAGGCTGAGATGAAGGGGATTGGTGCTATAAACCTGAATGCAGCCTTAGCAGAGAACAATTATCTCATGTCCTGATCACAAGTAGAACTGTCTGGACCAGAGTGCCAGGCAGCTGTTGAATGTGAAGAAAAGTCTGTTTCCATCAGATTAATATATTATTTAACAATACTGGCTGCTGAAGACAAACTCTGTACAGAGGAGTATTGGCACATGATGTTTACTCTGGAATAACACCATCCCCTGTGAAAAACAGAGGGTTTGGGCTGGTGTTAATAGACTGCTTTACAACTTGTATATGGCCTTGTCAGTTCAAATAAATCCTCAACTCTTCATACTGATCAAGGCCTAAAATCATATCTGCAGCTGTTCCATGTGGCTGAGTCACATCAAATTGTTTTCAGAAGGAGCTCTCTTTGTTCCAGCACTCCAGTTAAAGAAGATGAAGCACCCTCAGTGTCTGTATCCCTGATGCATGATGCTGTGCATCATGAAACTCTAACATGACCCTGTAGAAGAAACCTGTGTCCCTGATGCTCTGCTGTATGGCACAACCTTGGCAGATCAGATCAGCATGCAGAGGGATGGGCAGATAGCTCCTTCTTAGCAGGAGGAACAGCACCTCCACTGCCAATGGGACATTTTCTTTTCATGGGCCCTGGCATTCATCTGACCCTTTGGTCACCAAACCAGAAAAAAAACTACTTCAGGGGGAAAAAGTGACCTGCTTATGGCCTGGTGAGGGACCTAGACTGGCTCAGCCAGAGATCTGCTCGAGGTTAACGTTGGGAAAGGGTGGGTTTAGGTCTCTAGAGGGAAAGAACAAGAAGGCAGCAAGGGAAGAAGAAGTAGGACAGCCTCCTTCAGCTCAGCAACTTCTTGCCATGGCTCAGCTGCCCTGAAAAGAGGCAACAGGATAGGTGGCAAGTCCTGACGAACACAAACACTTCCTCACATGCTTTTTGAACTGGGGATGAGATTTTGTTCCTCCCTTGCCCAGTTTGCCTGACATGAGTGCTGCACTGCAGACTTGCAGACCATGGGGAAAGCCTCCTCTGGAGGTATTTTTACAATGGGAGTTTTCTCACATCCCTGCTGTGGGACCAGCACCATCTGGACTACACAGAAAATGGGGGTGGTTCAGGGCTTCAGCTGCTGCCAAAATGCAAGTATCAAAGAGGAGCTGAATGTCTTCAGGTTCCATCTGAGGGTGCCATGATTGGACCCTGTCACAGCTGGGTGTTTAACAGCATACCTGCTCCACCATCCCCTGACTCCTAGGTGGCGGAAGGACAATTAACTGCCCCGGTGCATCTTTACACAGGTTCTGCATTCAGCTTCATTAAGGAATGACTTTTCCCCACCTCACTGGGGAAAAAAAAGCAAATGGGGCGATGCCAGAACTGCAATTTGCCACTGGTAGGGACCCACAAAGCCCAGCTGGCTATCCCCAAAGTGCACATTGGCGGGCTCTTTGCAAAGCCGCTCCTCGACCCAGACAAAGAGCAGCCAGCAGCCATGGGCACACAGAAGCCCACCTTCCTGGCAGGTCTCCCCTGCCTTGCCCAGGTTGCAGTGGCAGCGGGAGCCGCCGCGGTCGTAGTCGTTGATGCAGAAGCTGTCGGCGGAGCACACGGCCTCGTCGCAGGACAGCTCGGAGAGCCGCGGCACGGGCGGGGACACTGAGGGCCCCGGGCTGGCAGCAGGGACAGCAGTGGGCTCGGAAGTGGTTGTCAGGACCCGTGACAGGAGCCTGGAACTAGACCCTGGAGTGACCTTAGTTTCGACCAGAAATTTTCTGTTGCCTCCTTTAATAGCAGGAAGTGGTCTGAGCTGAAAGGAAGAAACACCAATTCAGTAAAATTAAAATTCTGTGGGGAAACAAAATTAACACATTTTAAGATACAGATCTGAGGCAACAAACTCATCCTCAATGAAGAAAAAGAAGGGACCACATCACTATATTTAAGCACTTAATATCAGATATTAAACTTCTTGACAGGACCAGACACTAAAATATCCAGACTATAAAGAAAACAGAAGTGCCAACAACAAATCTTGACATTTACCTCTTCTATATAAATGTCATAGTCTGAATCATCAATATCAAATCCATCACCATCGCCAGTCACTGTGTCTGTGATGTACCGATGTCCAAAGCTTCCACTTCCCAACTCCTCAGAGCCTGAAAAGACATAACTGGCATATGTCACTTCCTATAGTTTTTTGTCTTTGCACACAGCAATTCAGATCTTACCACTCCTTCCATTCACAACACTTAAACCTAAACTGATGCTAATGTTCATGCTGTGCAGACAATGCAAGTGTCAGTCTGAAGAAGGCAGATCCTGTCCAAGTGATATACACACAGCCTAAAACAAAGTGAAGACCTTCATTTAGTCATTTATTAGGTGATTAAACAAATAAAGCAGGCAAAGCTCAGTTCTCCCTCTGCAAACTGACTTGTATTCATCATTTTTCCAGGACAAAGGTATCAGACTTTTTTGACTGAATTGTTTTTAAGTCAAGCTTTTCCCTTTTGTAAAGACAGTCTTGTATCTGCCTTACTGGAACAGCAAAAGAGATGCATGCAGGCAAGATACACTCTATGTAGGATTTAATCTACCTCCACTGACTCCAAAACTCCTGAAATTAGTGTCCTGTGTGTATTCTTAGACTATTTTATAAATACAATTCAGCACCTTGAAACAAGAAACATTCACCTTCACCCAGAGGGTTGCTGGGCACTGGAACAGGCTCCCCAGGGAAGTGTCACAGCACCAAGCCTCACAGAGCCCAAAAAGCACTTGGACAATTCTCTCAGGCACATGGTGGGATTATTGGGGCTGTCCTGTACAAGGCCAGGAGTTGGACTCCATGATCCTTCTTGGTTCCCTCCAACTCCAGATATTCAGTGATTCTATGGCCATGTGTTTTTCAAGTACATAATCTACTTCTGCCACTTCCCAGAGTGCTGAACTGTGCTTTGGAGGACTCTGGGCTGGGAACGGACAGTTTGAACAGTAACGGGATCCTCATTTCTATTTCACAGAAAGTGTCTGTACTTTTCTGCACTTCACATAGCAAATTCTGCCCAAACAGTGGTTTGTGCTTTTTAGCTATTAAAATTCACCAGGTCATGAAGAAACACAGTAAAAGTAACCAAACCATTACAGTTACTTGTCATTGCAGTGAGGCTGAGAACAGGTGTCTTTAAACCATTAAACCAACAGACTCATATAACTGCCTTTTCCATACAATATTTTTCCATCACTTAAAAACAGCATAAGCAATTTTGGTTTACAAAGTCTCTCTACTGAGCTGAGTGTACCTACCTAAATCTTTTTATACTCTCTCCTCCTTTGCTGTGATTGCAACCCAGAAGTCCTGGCAGGCAGTAATGAAATCCAACACATGTGCACCAGAGATGAATGTGTGCCCTGGCTGACTGACTGGCCACACTCCCTGTGCCCTGCAGGGGTTACTTATCAATGGGCTTTGCACATTACATCAGCATACAGAAAAATGTGAAACAAATGAGTAGAGATAATGAGGCATATACTCTTGCAACCTAGAAATCATGCTGGACTGGGACAGAACGTGTGTAAGTCTTTCCACTCTAACATGTATACCTAGTCATCTGTAAATAATACATTTTATCTGTACGTTAAATAAAAGTATTCAGCACTGAGTTCAACCAAATGAGCTAAGAAGAGAGCTCCCCTCTATGACTGGTAACAATATGAGGCAAACAGGACAAACTACATCCAGATTATTTCTGCTACTGACTGTGAATGCAGAGGCAAAGGATTAAGTGTTAGGGAATCAGACTGCACATTTATGAACTAGTTCCAGTCCTACAAAAACTGGAATGAATTTCACCATGCTGAAATAAAAATGTAAAAATACCCTCTTACTCCTAGTATTCACTTTTATAATCATTCAGGTTAGTCATCATCCAGAACAATTTTACACCAGGCAGGAAGCTAGGGAGACTAAAGCAGAGAAGAGAAGAGAACAGTAGAGTAGAGTAGAGCAGAGTACAGTACAGTACAGCAAAGCAGAGTAGAGTAGAAAATTATTCAGTTGGAAGGAACCTATAATGATCATGTAGTCAAGCTGCAAGTTCTACCCATCACTGCATCACATCCCCTTCTTTGGTAAACAATGATTCTGTAAGACATGCATTTCTACAAAAGAGTTCCAGTGTGTAAAACCACAAATATATGCATTACAAATATGATTTGCAGTTGGATTGGTTTTGCACTGCCTGGTTCTTGCAGCAGGGTAGGGTTACAGGGGTAGCTGCCAGAAGCTTCTTCCATATCCAGTAAAGCCAATCCCTGGTGGGTCCAAAGATGGACATGCTGGGCCAATTAGAAGTTATGGTAATGCCTCTGTGATAACATATTTAAGAAGAAATCAAAACAAAGTTTGTGGTGCAGTTTTAATCCCTGACAGAGAAGAGTAGGAGATGAGAATATATGAGAACAACATGTAGACACAGGGTCAGTGAAGGAGGAGGGGCAGGAGCTGCTCCAGGCCCCAGAGCAGAGATTCCCCTGCAGCCCCTGGCGCAGCCCTGGGTGAGGCAGCTGTGGCCCTGCAGCACAGGGAGGTGCACAGGAAAGCAGAGATTCCACCTGCAGCCCCTGGAGGAGCACAGCAGAGCAGGTGGGTGCCTGAGAGGAGCCTGAGGGAGACCTGTGGGAAGAGGGCCCTGCCCCAGGCTGGAGCAGCCTGTCCCTGAAGGACTGCACCCCACAGAAGAGTGACCCAATGTCTGAGGGGTGCTGTGGCCCATGGGATGGACTCACACTGCAGTAATTTGCAGGGAGCTGCTGTCCCTGAGATGGTGCCATGCTGGAGAAGTTCATGGAGAACTGACACCCATGGGAGGGACCCCATGGCGCAGCAGGGGAGTGATTCCTCTCCCTCAGCAGTGAGAGAAGCCCTGGGTGATGAACTGACCACAACCACCATTACCTTCTCCTTGCACTGCTGGGGTAGGAGGTAGATGGAAGGAGGGAATGAAGTGGGAAAGGTGTTTCTAAGGGTTTTACTTCTCATTATCCTGCTCTGATTTTGTTAGTAATAAATTCACTTCATATCTCCAAGTTGAGCCTGTTTTGTCTGTGATGGTATTTAATGGTGATCTCTGCAGGTCCTCACCTCAACACATGAACCCTTCACTAATTTTTTTCTCCTCTGTCCAGCTGCAGAGAGGAGAGAGAAAGTGGCCTTGGTGAGGGCCTGGGATCTGGCCCAGGTTAACCAGTCCTCTTACTGGAGAATGGGGGCAGTCATGAAGATTTTCAGTAACTGGGAGAAGTAATGGGCAAAACAAGTACTGAAAAGTGTTAAGTATTACAGAGTGGAATGACCATGGGGAATTTTTCTTGTAATTGTGGTGAAGGATCAAGGAGTGAATTTTGTGCAAGTTGTTCATTTTTGTTCTGTGTTGTGATGATTTTATTTTGGATTTAATGTCGGGGGTTTTTTTAAGTTCACCACAAAAGGGATTTATTGGTAATACCATGTACAATATCTTTTTAGTATCACATACAATGTCCTTACTTCTGCCTTGATTTAGATGTAGAAGCTCTCAACAAAGAAAGCCAGCTCTGGTTCACAATTTGTTCCCGGCATTTCTCATTGGCTTTGCTCATTCTCTTGGCCAAGAGCTTTGTATTCTGCTGCTTCCTCCTTGTTCTTTTGAGTGCCCTGCCTCTTCAGAGCAACATGCCTGCACTTATGCTGCAGCACTTGAGTCACTGGATTTTAGGAGCCTTGGTTCTGGGCTTCTTGCCCCCCTTGTTCAGAGGCTTCCTCACAACATACTGGCAAATGTTATCCTTCTTAGACAGGTTGAACAGCCTGGGGACTCTGCTGGTCCTTTTGGACAGGGTAGTGTCAGTCAGCCACAGAATGCCCTTTTCACTCCTTTTCACTATGACAGAGTTCAGGACACTCAACTTGGCATCAACAATGCAACTACAAATGGATTTGTGCTTCCTCTCTCTAGTTCCTCTGGGGTGATAGCAGGAACGCTGCTTGCTGAGCAGAAGGCAGACACATCTGTGAGGCAGGACACCATGCTTCATGGAGAAACCTTTGTCATTGCCACCACTGATCCAGATGACATATCCCTCCCACTCCTCACCAAGGGAATCAGAATGGCACCGTGGCCATTCATTTCTCATAAAATGTTCTTAGTTTGCACCCACATCCACTTCAATGAGCATTTGGCAGCCGGTGGCTGGGAAAGAGATGTTCAGCTTCATCATGCTCACACCTTGACACTGCTGGAAGGGGCAGCACTAACTCAACTCCCTGCAATCACAGCAATTTTCAGCTCACTGAATCACAGAATCACAAAATTAACTAGGTTGGAAAAACCTTTGAGATAATCAAGTCCCACCTATGACCTATACCACCTAATCAACAAAACCATGGCAGTGTGCCACATCCAGTCTTTTTTAGACATGTCCAGGGATGGTGACTACAGCACCTCCCTGGGCAGATGATTCTAGTGCCCAATCACTATTAAAGTGAAGAATTTCTTCCTAATGTCTGGCCTAAACTTCCCCTGGTGCAGCAAAAGATGTTTACCGCTTGTTCTGTCAGTGGTCAGAGAAGAGACTGACCAGCCTCTGACCAAAACCTCTTCTCAGGTAGCTGTAGAGAGTGATAAGGTCTGAGTGACAAGGTCCACTGAGCCTCCTTTTTTTCCAGGCTAAACAACCCAGCTCACACAGCCATTCTTCATAGGGCTTGTGTTGCAGGCCTTGTTGCCCTCCTCTGGATGCATTCGAGCATCTCAGCATCCTTCCTAAGGGCCCAGACTGGACACAGCACTCAAGGTGTGGCCTCACCAGCACCACGTGCTGGGGGACAATCCCTGCCCTGCTCCTGCTGGCACACTGTTCCTGAGACTGGCCAGGATGCCATTAGCCTTCTTGGCCACCTGGGCACACTGAACACTGTTCACAAAGTTTCATTGAAAATACAGGGAAACTAAATTTCCATGCATTTTTAGTAAGCTTTTCTGGGATATTCTAATTTGTCCCCTACTCACAGCTCGCCTTCTGGGGTGGATTCTGAGAGTTTTTTGTCTCAGTACTGATCTTTAAATTTTGGAATGAGTAACAATAATCTGGAAAAAAACAACAGGGTATCAGCTCC